GAGGGAGGGGGGGAAATGAGGACCTAATGTCGGGGGCTTAAGTGGAGAGGAAATGTTTTGAGAATGATGAGGGCAATGAATGTACAAATGTGCTTCACACAATTGATGTATGTATGGATTGTGATGAGAGTTGTATGAGCCCCTAATAAAAGGATTAAAAAAAAGTCAAATAAAAGTGTTAATATTTATAAATTCTAAGTGACAAGTACCTAGATTCTTTTGTTTTTCTGTATATTATTTTTTCCAGAATAAAATAAAATCTCCTTTCTTAATTAAGCTGCCTTGCAAAATTCTGAGGGAAACCACAATGGAAAATTATTACAGATAATACAAATAGCCTAAAAACAACTAAATATTCAGTCTCTCAAACCATCCAGACTCCAAAACACAGAGGAAACAGTTTTCTGTCCCAGCCACTTCCCTCTGCCTCTCCTCCCATCTTCTCCTCCTGCACCAAAAAGACTGGTCAGTCCATCTATTTTGAGCTAGTTTAGCCCCAAGAAAGCTAAAAACTCTTCCTTGTGAACTCAAAAAGGTTTGAATTCTGAAAACCACTTCCCTTACCCCACACCTTGAGCACTAACAACCAACTAAATCCTAAAATGTTCTCAACACCGTCACAATTCTACAGTTGATCAGGCTTTTCCCCACATGGTTTTATTATTTGATTCTCAAAACAACCCTATGAGGTCAATGTTACAGGCACCCACATTTATGGATGAAGCTGATGACCAAAGCAGCTAGTTACTAAAATCTGGGGTATAATCCCTCAACTGCAAAATCCAGTCGCCCACAAGCCCCCTTATGTGATGACTATCTTTCAACCACACTATGAACACACTTCAGAAAACAGGAAGGGTTGTTCACAACTACTTCGATCATTTTTCCATCCCTGATCTTTTTCCCTTTCTTCTTCCTTACAAGCAGCCCAGAGCCAGAGCCAGAGCGAGAACACTGCCACTATTAACTCTTTCGTTCCCTGTAGCCACTCATGTCACTTTGTCCTTTGAATAGGTAAAAAGGGGGAACAAGGGACGCATGCACCAAAGGGAAAGGACACCCCACGGCTCCAGACTTGTCTCCTTCCATCTTCCAGAAACAATCAGCAGAAAGCGCCACCAAGAAGCCTAGGCCACCACTCTGTATCAGTGCTGACAACAGTCCTTGACTGAAGGGCTTAAATTAACAGAGAAATGTAAAAGTACCAGTTTTTTAATCGGTCCCGGGCTTCCAACTGGGCTCCCACTTCAAAGCTGATTCCTCGTCTGTTAGGTGGATGCTTTGTCATTTTCAGTCATCAACGGGGCTGCCTTTATTCTCCTGAAAAAGCCAATTAAATATTTATGAAACTTAGGCAAAGTCTGCCCAGAGTGTAGCATCACTCACTACACACAAGAGACAAGCAGGCATTATTCAAAATACAAAGCTCCACAAAACTTTTTTTTTCACCACCCGCTTTCCCTCTGCCTCAGTACAATACAGGCTGCCCTCCACTCCTTCCTCATCTGTTAGTTAGTATCCTAGAGCCTCCGAACTTGTGAGGAGACCCTACCTCAACAATGCTTACCACGGCCTCACCTGTACAAGAAGGCCCCTGGAAACCAAAAACAATACTCTCCGAGTCAGAGTGAATCACTTAGTAATGCTTTCAACAAACACTCGCTGAGGATCTATTTAAGATCTGATATTAAGGAAACAGTCAAGACCAAAAGAGACAAGAGCTCCAGCCCTTTGATGCCTGCAATCTACCGAAGCAAGACAAAATCTTAGCCAGCAAACAGATAGAGAGGTCATCACTTTTAAGGAAGCAAACAAACATTTTGAAAATCACTGATATTTGGCTCTACTTTAGGAAAATTGGGCAAGAAAAATCTTTCTTTTCTTTGGGTGACATGGCAGCAGTTCAAAACCACCAACTGCTCTGTGGGAGAAAGAGGAGGCTTTCTACTCCCAAACTCACAAACCCACAGGGGCAGTTCTACTTTGTCCTGTAAGGTCACTATGAGTCAGAATCAACTGAGTGAGATTTCTTTTTTAGTCAATTCTGACACTTATCTTTTCCAAAGTAATTTTATCCATTATATATTAGCTTAGAACAATACAAAATATTCTAACTTCTTGGATTGCTTTTGAATCTTAAACATCTCCCCATTCTCAATCCTGTTTCATGTATTTGTGCTCACTTATTTGGGTGTTTGCTTTGTTTGTTTTTGCCCTTTATTATCTTTTACACAAATTTATTTTTATTTTTATACAAATGCAAGGTCATACAATATGTTTCCTTCTATGATTGGCTTATCTATCTTCAAGCTCCTATCCATACAACAGCATTAATCAAGACTTCATTTCTTCTAGCTGGCTGAGTACTATTCTGTACTTTATTGTTTTATAAAACTGAGTAAAACCTAATTCCATTTTTTTTACACTATGTACTTTTGGATGGAATTAAAGTATAATGTAATTTTCCCCAAAACTTTTTGAAGCCCCCTTGTATGGACACACTGTATTTTGTTTATCTATTCATCTGTTAATGAGTACACAGGCTGTTTCCATCTTTTGGCTACTGTAAATGGTGCCGCACTGAACACTGGGTATGCAAGCCTCTGCTTTCAAGTCTTTAAAGTAAAATACTGAGTAGAGGAGTTTTTTTATTTCTTTTTTTTTCTTTAACAAGTGTTTAGATACTGGAATTGGCAGTGATTTTCTAAATGAGCAAAACCTATTTATATGATCAAAATTAAACAGTAAAGCTATTTTGTTTATGAGAAAAAACTGTTAAGTAAGGCCCTTTATCTCAACAGTGGCCCACACAAAAGATCAGTTCCTGGGATCTATGAAGACTCAAATGTGAGCTCTGGCAGCCTAATGGTTGAGTCAGGCTGCCATCTGTAAGGTCAACAGTTTGAAACCACCAAGCTACTCCTTGGTTGAAAAATGAGGCTTTCTACTCTCATAAGAGTTATAGCCTCTTTTTTAAAAAATCCAAAAAAGAGTTATAGTCTCAGAACACCACGGGGACTTTTGTACCTTGGCCCTATAAGGTCACTATGAGTCAGAATTAACATGACAGCAGTAAGTTTGAGTTTGAGTGGTGATTCTGATGGAGACAGAGCCCCTCTGAGTTCTTGAGGGCCTTCAAGTAGGGCAGGCCATAGAACAGGCTAACCCAAATCATCTCTCCCACCAAATTCTGAATCTCAATAGCCTACCCAAGCAATGCCAAAACAGAGCCAGCGCACGCCCAGACGCAAACTAGAACAGGCACAAACTAGAAGTGTAATCTTTACAATGAGACAATAAACATGACAGATAAGTATAATCTCAATCAGTAGAAAAGTCCTCATTTCAGTTTGCCTGAGATACCATGTCAAATTATCTACACTTTATCTCTGACTTCATGCACATCAAGAAATTTAAGTAACAAAAAAAGAAAAAAGAAAGAAATCTGAGTAACACTTTCTTCTCTCAGATTACAGGAAAAGGTGATAGCTCCCAAAAACACAGAAGTAGACTTTGGGTTGCTCTTATTTGTCAGCTCCGTGTAGAAGGACAGGTCCTGTTTACAGAGTCTAATGTAGTGGGGTTAAAGATTGGGCTTGAATCCCCAGCTCCACCCCTATCAGCTGAGTGAACTTCGGCAAGTTAACTTCTCTGATCCTTTTTCCTCTAGTAAAATGGAGGTGGTGCTAATGATAGTACGTTCCTCCAAGAGTGGGTATTGAGTATTATATGAAAGAATAAAAAATTGTAGTGCAAAGCTGAATAGTGCTTCCAAACGACCCCAAAATCAAACTCATTGCCAGAGAATCAATCCCAACTCACAGTGACCCTCTATAGGGTTTCTGAGACTGTTAATCCTTACAAAAGCAGGTACCTCAACTTCCTCTTCAGGGGCAGCTGGTGAGTTTGAATTACCAACCTTGCAGTTGGCAGTTCAATGCTTACTCAACATAAGCAGCAGTAAATTTACTTTCACAGATTAGGAAATTAGACTAAAGTATTCTAGCTCAAGTTCAGCTGTTAAATGACAGGCCCTAGGGGAAAAAAAATCCCAGGTTGGCTGGGTTTCAGAATCAACTCTTTCCCCCACACACCTTTACCAGCAGGTGTCCCTAGGTGACCATTAAGTCAAAATACAGGAATGAGGGAGCAGGGCAGAAAATAAATGAAGAGGAGCAATTTATTTCCAACGGCTCAAGCAAACCAATTCCTCTTTAAGCTGAACCGATTTCTTTCAAATCACAAACTAAAAGCTTTATTCTCTGGCACAACAGAACAAGACAAAAAGCTTATGGGCTTTCGTGTCCCATCAGCAACCCACCCACCACCCTTCTGGAGTGACAGGAATTGTTTTTAAATTTCCTATCAATTCTTTCAACAAGCCTTTAGTGTATTCGCTATCAGTAAGGCATTGTCTGGAAAACAGAGGCAAAGAAATCAAACTCTGTCCCTGCTCCAGTGTCCACTCAGACACAAATACTAAGGCCAACAAACACGTTCTGATAAAAGGCAAAAGAAAGGGGCAGCAGAGAAATCATCTCAAAGTCTCAAAAGAATTTGAAGGCATCTACTACGGAATTGGTTGGGGGAATTCAAGACCAAAACAGAACTTTTTGGAAAAAAGATTACATAGAAAGTACATTTAAAGGCAAAGCAGTTTTCTGAAGATGCAAAAGTGTAAAGAACATTCTGTAGCTTTTAACCTATTTGTTCTTGAAGGCTTTAGCTTTACCTTCCCAAACCCTCCAGCTTCCAGAATAAGGACTATGTTCCAAAAGGCACAAGGAAAAATTGACTGAGACGTCATCTAATGCAATCTGCATTTATGCAGGATAAACAAAGGCCTTGGCTGGACATCAATATTACACCTCTACATTAAAATACACATATAACGGGAAATTCACCTCTACAGAAGAGACAGAGCCTAATCTATTTGGGGGGGGGGGGAGTATTCCCAGTTAATGGCCCCTAATTCAAGATAACAAAAGTTTTCAATGTACACTGTGTAGTGCTATACACAATTAAAAGGATACTTTCACAAACGCCAAACTGGGAGATATTAACTACAACACACATGGCAAAAAAGCTAACTTATTTAAAAAAAAAAAAAGCTAACTTATTTTATTAACAAAGGGTCCATATAAACCAATATCAAAAACAAAAATTCACTTAAAAATGAGCAGTATATATTAAAGGGGTGGGGAACACAAAGGTCTAGTAAATGTGGTATCGCATCCACATAATGCCATCCTAAATTAAAAGAAATGCAAGTCAAAATAATATAGACTTAAAATTTAATTAATTAATAATATGGACTTTTTAAAAACTTTTCAGACTGGAATAAATTTGGAGGACCCCCGTAAGGGAACAGCAGCATGCTCATACACTGTTGGTAGAAGCATAAATTGGAAAAGTCTTTCAGAAGCAAGTTAATGCCATCTACAAAGATGCACATATCTTCTGGCCCAGTAGTCCCAAGGCCAGGAACTTGTCCTCCAGGTGCGTCCACAAATTTAGCATAATTCTCTTTCAGAATTATCACTGCGGCTTTGCAGTTTCTGCAGCAAAATTCTGAGAACCAAAAAAAATGTAAATCGAGAGAGGCCTGGTGAAATGAATTGCAGGTCATCTCTACAATACAAAGCGGCACAGGTACAAAAAGGAATAATGGCCATCGGTAGATACAGACATGGAACCACCTCCAAAATACAAAGTGAAAAACACAGTAAAGAGGCACATGTATGGTGGTGTTTCTTTACTGTTAACAAGCAAACATAAATGTAAATATAGGCAAAGGGATATTATACCACATGCATAAAATTATCTCTTGGAAGGAAATGAGAAACTGTGTAAGTGGTTCTTTTAATAAGAACTTTTCACTACCCTTTCGTACACTTAAATTTTTATCAATATATTCCTTTTTTTTTTAATTGTCAACAGGATTGTCTAGGTAGTACTATTTTAATTTTGGCTTACACTTCCTCATATGTTTTAAAATTGGCATTTAAATATACAAAGGCCCTTTAATTTTTATACTATCTTACTGGATAGTTACCACTGCCACATGATATATGAAGATTATGAAGAACTGTAATGTTCCAATGGTAGAGAAAAGAACGCAGTGCAGAGAGCTAGTGGCTTTTGAGTCCCCCAATGTAGCTCTTATTAAAGGTAGCAGGACTTTCCCAGAGGTTGACAACCACTTCTTGCATGTCCATGTTCTTTCTCGCTCTTGCCCCTACCAGAGTCTTACTATGTTTATATCTATGTCTTCAGATATAAACATAATCTGAATACAGGAAGATGAAGTTATTGGACAA